CACTGAGACCCAACAGTCTTCGAAGGTTCCCGAACGGTTGCTACGTCTCTTCGCTCTTTACGAGAACCTCCTTCGCTTTGTCATGCCCTTGTGCTCGCAGCTCTCTCGCCCCAACCCGGAGACGCCCATCACTTCGTCCAACAACATCGTCGATGTTAGCGGAGTAGGATTGAAGCAATTCTGGGATCTTAAGGGTCACATGCAAGATGCCAGTGTGTTGGCGACCGCTCATTATCCTGAGACTCTAGACCGGATCTTCGTGAGTTGTTCTCTGCATAGCATATGGAGAGGCGTTGCTAATATGAAGTCAATGTAGATCATCGGCGCCCCTTCTTTCTTCCCCACTGTCTGGGGCTGGATCAAGCGCTGGTTTGACCCGGTCACCACGTCCAAGATCTTCATCCTCTCGACTGCAGAGGTGAAGCCGACCCTGACGAATTTCATGGATCCCTCCAGCATCCCCAAGCAATATGGTGGCGACTTGGACTGGAAATGGGGCGACATGCCCAATCTCGATGGAGAGGCCCGCCAGGTCGTCGGCGCCCTCGAAACTCCAGCCGCTGAGGGCGAAACCAAGCCCAGCTTCATCAAGGGCCCCGTCTTGTTCAACGGCGACACCATCGAGGTCCTCGGCAAGGTCAACGGCGAGAGTCGGAAATCCACCCTCCCTGCGGGTACCCTCGCGCAGCAAGGCGAGCCCGCTGCTACCCCGGTTGAAAAGGCTGCCGCGCAAGAGACTCCTGACGCAGCCACTGAGGACGAGAAGGTGGCTGCCGTGCAAGAAGACGCCGCCGCCCTCAAGTCAGAGGCTGAGACGGCCACGAACACCGTTGCCGCTTGAGTTTATCCCATTTGACCTATTTCTCTCGTTCCGACTATAATATCCTTCTTTCTCAGCCAACTTTCTTCGCTTCATTTTTCATCAAGACATTCATCAACACACTAATAAAGCACCATATGAGGCGTCATTCGGATCGAATTGGATAATTTCATAGAAGATTTCTGCGCTGCATCTCATAAACCGGGCTTGTTTGAAGAGACGACCAGTGCAATTTAAGTTCATCAAACGGGCTTACGATTGATCAGAGCCTGGTCTGACCTGACTCAGACCGATTGCTCAGTCTACACCCGGCACTTCTCTATTTCTCCATCAGTCCATACTCTAGCGGCCGGGGTCTTTGCCTGGTATATATTGGCAAACTTATACTTCGTTATAACATTTCTGTTTAAGATGCTTTGAGAAATAAGATATAGACATTTATTCGCATCTGGGTTTATCTCGGATTCAGTGTTGCGGTTTCTGTCCTTAGGCTTCGCTTCGGGATATTTGCCGGACAATTACTGATCCAGAGAGATGATACAATGGTTAAAGGATTAGAGGTAGAATTGTGAATGCTCAAACCCACTCAGTAGGTGTCTTGTTTCCAATGAGCCGTAGCCGGTAATGCATGGGGATCGCAAGAGCGAGGGCTAGACTAGCCGCAACGGTCAGTCGGCCATCACCGCCCGCAGCTCATCCTCCCCGGATAGCGTCACCCACCTGCTATTTATTACTGCATAACAACAACATCAGCCGCCTGTAACCCCTCAATGACCGCCCGAGAGTCACGGTCATAACCATGTGGCTACAGGCGACGCTCCTTTTGCTCGCCTCGTGCGTTCCCTCCAGCTCGGCCATCTATGTCGATGAAGTCGGCCATATCGATTACCACCACGCGCTTCTCGGCCTTCCCACCTCCCAATCGACCTTCTTCCTCAAACCCTCCGCCTCGTCCAATGCTTCCCTCCTCTATACCCTCTCTGAGGACTCTCTCCTCGGCGCTGTGAATCCCAAAGATGGATCTCTGGTTTGGAGACAGAACCTCTCGCAGCCCGCCCTCCCCGCCGACCAGGGCGGCGTTTCCGGTCTCCTACGAGCCTCCGAAGGAACGAACGCTGTGGTCGGCGCGCTGGGGGACTATGTCTCCTCATGGACTGCTCTCGATGGAAAATTGATTTGGGAAAAGTGGTTTGCGGATGAGAAGATCGCGGATCTCGAGCTTCTGGAGCTTGAAGATGCCAGTGCCGCGCCGTCAGCTAAAGACACTGTGGCGCTATTCAGTGGAAAGGCGGGTGTCGTTCGCAGACTCGATGGTAATACAGGCCAAGTCAAGTGGGAATACAAGGATGAAAGGTTCGATTTCAAACCCTGCGTTCCCTCTCCTCTAAAAATGCTGGGTGGTTGCTGTTGCTGACTGCTAGAGCTCTCATGATAGTGGAGACATCCCGTTGCAGCTGTCGTCCTCGTCCACGGAAGTTTTCTACATCGCCCTGCAAGCATCGGCGCGGAAGGGCTATCGGATCCGCGTGGTTTCGCTGGATCCCCTGACTGGCCTTCATACCCAGCAGCAAATCCTGAGCTCGGAGAACGAGGTGTCCGGTCCCCAGTCCGTTGTCTTCGTCGGCGCCAACACGGCCGCGCCTGTGATCGTGTGGTCTGACGCCGCGCACAAGACGCTGAAGGTCAACATCATTGGCACTAAGCAGGTGCAATCCTTCGATATTGAGAACACAAGCGGCGAGAGTATCCGGTCGATCGCCGTCCACACCCCGAAGAAGCTGGAATCGCTGCCCCATTACCTGGTGCACTACGAGACAGACTCGGCCACTTGGGCGGAGGTATACCACGTTGATCTGAAGACTTCTGCCATTTCCAGGGCGTATGAGCTGCCCCGGTTGCAGGGATGGTCTGTCTTCTCCACGAGCAACAAGGACGCCAACGTCTACTTCACCCGCATCACGCAGTCGGAGACTACCGTCGTTTCTTCGGTCTCGCATGGAATCCTGGGAAGATGGCCTCACCAGTCGCCTCCGCTGGAAGAGGCGGTGCATGCCGTCTCGGAAGTTGTGACCAAGGGTGATTCGGTTGCCGTTCGGTCCGCAACTGCTCTCGTCTCCGGGGACTGGCAGTTGATCCGCGGCGGTCAGGTCGAATGGACGAGGTACGAGGCCTTGGCGGGCGCCTTGGCCGCTTCGTGGGTTGAGACGGACGGCTCCGAGGACTTAGTTCATCAGCTCGAAGTCGAAGGCCATGAGAGCGTCTACAAGGCTTACATCCACCGCGTCAAGCGCCATGCTAGAGATCTCCAGCATCTCCCTGAGTGGCTCAAGGACCTCCCGAAGCGCATTGTGACCAGCATTCTCACTGACGAGGTCTCTAACCTTGAAAGCTTTGGGATCTCTAAGCCTGTCATCGTTGCCGCGAAGAACGGCCGGGTCTATGCGTTGGATGCCGGGAACCATGGTGCCGTGTCTTGGGCTGTGAAGGCTGCCGAGAAGGACTCGTGGGATGTGAAGGCGATCGTGGCTCAACCAGGATCCGCCACTATCTACGCCGATGATGGTAGCTCTGTCACTCTGGATGTCACGTCTGGCGCGATCCTCGCTCGTACCTCTGGCACCACTACCAAGGTCCGCGCCGTTGCCGTCATTGACGATGGCTTCGCTCCAGTCACTATCGGCATTCGTGAGGATGGTACCCCGTTGGAATCCCTCGACCTTCCTGGGTTCTTTGTCACCCAGAGCAACGACGGCCGAGTGTTGGGATGGGCCGCTAGGGACAACAAGACCCCCGTCTGGCAGTTCCTCCCTCCCCATGGAGAGAAGATCGTGTATGCTACTGCACGCCCCGCTCACGACCCTGTGGCGTCGATTGGTAAGGTTCTGGGTAACCGCTCTGTTCTCTACAAGTACCTGAACCCCAACCTCGCCCTCATCACCACCGTCGGCGAGAACAGGGCGACTTTCTACCTCCTCGACGCTGTCTCTGGCCGCGTCCTGCACACTTCCGTCCAGAAGGGTGTTGACACCACGCAACCGATTGCCTCCACCATCTCCGAGAACTGGTTCGCGTACTCGTTCTACGCGGACGTCATCTCCCCCTCCACATCCAAGGGCTACCAGCTCGTGATCTCGGAACTCTACGAGTCGCCAGTCCCCAACGACCGCGGGCCCCTCGACGCCGCCGCCAACTACTCCAGCCTTGCCTCCCTCCCCTCTCCGCACATCATCTCCCAGTCCTTCGTCATTCCCGAGCCCATCTCGCACATGACTGTGACTCAAACCCGCCAGGGCATCACCACCCGCAACCTCCTCTGCACCCTGCCCCACTCGAACGCGATCATCGGCATCCCGCGCCCCGTCCTCGACCCCCGCCGCCCCGTCGACCGCGACCCCACTTCCACCGAAGCCGAAGAGGGCCTGTTCAAGTACAACCCCTTCCTCGAGTTCGAAGGGCGGTGGTACCTGACCCACTCGCGCAACGTCGCCGGCATCAAGAAGGTGCTGTCCAGCCCGACGCTGCTCGAGAGCACGAGCCTGATCTTCGCCTTCGGCGGGGATATCTTCGCCACCCGCGCGACGCCGAGTCAGGCGTTCGACGTGCTAGGCAAGGGATTCTCCAAGCTGCAGTTGGTTCTCACCATCCTGGCCTTGAGTGCCGGTGTAACAATACTGGCGCCTATGGTATGTTCTTTTCTCTTTTATTTTTCCTTTGCCCCAGGACATGTAAGCTAACCTTTTATTTTCTTTTGTGTAGGTCCGCAGGAAACAAATCAATATGATCTGGAAGGCGTCGTCGTAGAGTGCGGAGCTAGCTGCGGGAGCTTGGCTTGGTGTGGATTGAAAGGTTCGATTTTGTGAGAAGTATAGTCGAGTGACGATGAGATAGATATATATGATTAATTCAGTTTATGATGAGATAGGAAAAGTGGTTTTGGCTGAGTTGCTGTTGCTGTTGATGTAGTAGTTCTGTTAAGAGTGGTGGGTTTTGCTGAGCACTCGGTTGTACACTTCGTGTTGGTTCATGGTATGCATTGCAATGACAGTCGAGGTGCTAGAGACAGAGCTGGTTGGTTACAGGTTACTCTACTTACACTGCAATTGCTGCCTGGCCTTGTAACATATCAATTGTCACATGGTTTAAGACAGCTAATGAAAGTTATCAATAACGCGCCGACATGGAAGAATCATAACCTATAAGAACCGTCTCGTGAGGATACTGTTAACAGAAACAAGTAACACACTCAAAGCTCGATGAACCGATCCACCCACCCACTAAAACGAAATACCGATATCAATAGAAGTTCCTCTACCTCGACCGAACCTCGAGAACATACCCGCTCCCCGGTACCCAATCTCCCTCCACCCACGAGCCACCTCGATACCTCTATACCATTCTCAGTGAAATCAATCACTGCCACTCGACGAGCTAGAACTCGAACTCGAACTCGAGCTCGACGAGCTCGACGAACTCGACTCCGAGCAGCTTCGATGCCGCCCACCGCGACGGTGCTTCTTCGTCTTCATCCTTTTGCGTCTGCAGAGAAGTGTCAGCGTACGCCCGAGGCCGATCCCCAGATTTTAAGAGAATGACAGAGCAAAAAAACCTACATCTTACTCGCGAACCTCATCCCCGCCGCCCCGGCCAACGCCCCTCCCGCCGTGCCGAGAAACCCACCCCCGAACTTGCGGCCCAGGATCCCACCGGCTGCTGCACCGGTGACGGTGCTTGCTAGTTCTTCCTCGGTTGTTGGGGCTGGGCCTGCAGCTGAGGGGTCTGAAGGGGCTGGTGGTGGTGGTGGTGGAGGAGGAGGAGGAGGAGGGGGAGGTGGACCCCCCTGCGGAGCGTAATACGAAGCGCTTTCGCCTTGGAGCATTTGCATTTGGGGTTGCGAGGGATGGGTAAACGGTGTGTTGTTGTCTCGATACTCTGTGTAGGGCGTGTTGGGCTCGGAGTAGGCGGTCACTTGGCCTCCGGTCATGGTGAGAGGGATGTTTGCTCGGTGGATGTATGGGGAGTTGTTATTGGGGTAAGGGGGGTTGGATTGTGAGGTGTAGGTATGCTGGATCGGGAGGCTCGAGGTTCAGCATACTGGGCTGCTTTTTTTTTGGTGTGCGTGCTATGGGGGTTTGGCTACTTACTGCGGGCTGTTGCTGGTATTGCTGGTCAGGTTGGCTCTGTCCCGGAGAATGATATCCTGCATGGTTTTGTGGGTCGTAGGCGCTGGGTTGCTGGCTGTAGTATTTGGGTTGGGGTTGGGCGTAGGGATTGCTGTAGTTGGAGTTGGACATAATGATGGTGTTGGTTCGGTTGTTGGGGGTTGGATGGGGTGTTTCTTGTGTGGGAGGGGAGTTGCAATGATGGTGGTATTGGTTGTAGTATATCTCATGGTGATATCGGGATGACTAGCTGTCAGGCAGTATGTTTGGGGAGATGGTGGAAGGTAGGAGGATGGGTTGCGGTTGCCCTGTTTTGACTGAGCACAGCTTGCCCTTGGATATGCCATTCCCCATGACATACTGTTGTCCGGATGAAGAAGATGACTGCTAGTGGGTTGAGGTAGCTGATCAACGGGCATGACAGAGTACAAACTGCTGACCAGGCTAAGATTGTCTTCAACTTCTGTTCGAGGGGATTTTGTGCATCTACGTCGAGAGTGGTTGTGGTCATGCACACTGCAGGGTCATGTTAAGTCGAATAGACGAACTTTCTATCAGGGTCGTTCTCGATGCTCCTGGTTTTACTTCCTGCAAGATGGTGGGCTATGCTGCCTCTAGTAGCTTGTGTATTGTATATGCACTGAGACATACTCCACTGCGAAGATTCAACATCCTAGCTGTAAACCAGATAGCCTTGAACGAAAAGTGAAGACATTGATGAGGAGAAAGCGTGTATACATACATAGAAACTGCGACACAATGATGGATATAAAGACACAACTTGGCGATTGAGGAAAGAAAAGCTTCGATCACAAAGAACCAGCTGGTCTTTGAAGTAGACCTCGAAGTAGTAGCCATGTCTCTCGAAATGGGGAATAGGCAGCCAGAGGTGAATGAGAGCCAGTTTGCATCGTATGTAGCTGAAGCCAGCCCAGCCAACATCTGCCTCTTTCTCTTTCTCTTCTCCCTCTTCCTCTTCTTTTCCTCTTTCCCTTCCTTCTCTTCCACTTCATACCCCATCTATGTCCCTACCATGATGCTAATTGTGATTACCGTCACAACGATCATCGTCTTTTTCATCGTCACCTTCATAGGTAAGCGTCTCTCCTACTGTATTGTGTGAGACACAAAACTAACCACTTCTACTAGTGAGTACAGTCTACCTCAACCTGTCATTTGATCCTATGCCCTGAATACAGAGTGAACCCCATCCAGATTTGCCTTGGAAACTTCACATACAGGCTGTCTAACTTATAAACCTAGACCAAGAACTTCAGAACCGCCCCCACCGAATCTGATACCCTCGACCCTGTACCCCAAGATGCCACCCCGCCGTAACCCCTTCATGATCCTTCAGTAAGTGCTCCATTGAGAAAGTATAGCTAGAGCAGCAGTGCTGGATATTGATGAGGCACGCAGGCTCATCGAACTCAAGGCAGTCGTCGAGGCCATGCTGTCCGATCTTGAAGCCGATTGGGCACGCGGACATCGCAGCAGGACCGATCTTGAGGAAATGCACAGCTTCAGAAATCTCCTGGGGCACATTTGTCGTGAAATAGAGGTGCGGCAGAGAACGGGCCCTGGACTTCCCAAGCTCTAGTGTGGTGTTTACCTGGAGATCATGGCATTTATCAGGGGTGGTGGCCCGGGTTCCTCTATTGCTGGTGTTGTTGGGTGGTCTGGATGCTTTGCATGTTGGCTGGATCTGTGGCTTTTACACTAAAGGATTCATCTAGAAATGGAATATCATGTTGCTGTTTAAGTGTACTGGACTGAGTGATATTGGTTAACGTACATCTCTGGGATGAAGAGGTCTTGCGTTTATATCTTTCTTACTTTCTGGCTGGAAGACAGGTGTATATTCTCGTGTAGGCTGGCAATAAGTTGTGCTCGGATTCCCAATGAGCTTCGAGACTCTATTGACTTCACCGGACCTGAAATCCTATTATTGTAAGTGAGCGGTAGTAGCATCCGCACGGCAGTGAATTGAGACATTTCATCGTAAAACATGATCAGGCACGTTGTTCACTGAGGCTGGGGATAAAAGAAGGCCACAATGTAAACAGACCACTGCCTAGAAGGTGAATAACATGTAGATTTATCAAGCGACTCCTTGTGAACGACAAAATTGCCTACAGCCATGAATCTAGCTAGATCTTATCTTCCACATCTCGAGTCTCTCACCCCCATCGCCATCCTTTCCATCACCATCCTTTCCATCACCACCTCTCCAACCCGGACCTCGCTGCATCGTCAACATTTCAAACGTCATGACAAACTCCAGTAAGTCCCCCTCTTGCTGCACCAAGTAGGAAAATGAACTAAAACTCGATCCCTATGGCCCCAGACAGCGTAAGCACACACCTAGTCCGGCAACCACCACGAGCCTCAACAGCCAAACCCATCCTCCCAACCTTGACCAAGACCAACACACGCTAACACATCCAGCAGAAGAGACCCTCCAAGTCCTCCGGCTCCGGGCTCGGGTCTTCACCGACAGGAGTCCAGAAACCATCCGGGTGCAACTCGTCGACCCGCCAACGCAAACGCCAACTTCGTTCTCCTTCTTTCCGCATAGTGGACCGGGAAATGAAAACAGAAAATAGTCATAGCCACCAGAACTCTTATGTCCCTCTCCCTCCATCTCAGTCTACAGTTCCTCGGTCCGCTACGCCTCAGGCTATTGCCCCTCAGCCAGGGGATCCTCGTTCTGTCGTATCGGTACCTGTTACACTTCCACCCTGGACTCAGCCCCTGTCCGCAGCCAGCCCTTCGAAACAGAAGACCAAGGTATGAAACAATTACCCAGCCAGCAGTGAGGCTCTTTGCAGAATGCTTATATATCGGTTTCTCCCAGGACCTGAACCCGGCTATGCCTACGCACCCGGCTACGGCGACGGAGTTGATCAGAGCCGACGAGCGCCTCAGGGTAAGATCAATCCCCACTTTAGCTCTACAAGGAGAGCGCCGATAATTCCAATCACTCATCATGTCAAATCCGGGCCGTAGTCCCGTTTCGAGGCCCAGACTAATGAAGAACCACAAAAAATCTAGATGCGCGAAGAGCTTCTAGACCGTGGCTACAACGTGCCGAACGATCTATTCCAGGAGCAGCAGCAGCGGCAGCAACACCAGGGAAAGAAGACAGAAAATGAAGATGAGGACGACGACGAGGAGGAAAAAGAACCGCACAACCTCACCCCGGGCCAGAAGCTGCGGCGCGTCGAGCTGTCCATCGATATCGAGGAAGAGAAAGAGCGGCTGAAGTCGTGCCAAACCGCGGCCGAGGCGGCGAAGGCGGCTTTCGTGGCTGCCGAAAAGGCGTTCCGGAAGGCCAAGGATCATCACCGGGTCTGCGCGAAAGAGCTGCGGCAAGCGAGAAGCCGGTTGGACAAATTGTCGAAGATGTACCGGGCTGTCTAGGGCTGGGTTGGTGATTGCACCCTCGCTTGAGCATTCCTTGGGGCATTTATGCTGGTTTTTTTCTGGTTCATTCTCTTGTTCTTTTGAGCCTTGGTTCTATCTGTGAGCAGAAGTTCGACATGATTCTTTATCTCTTCTAAAAGGTCGTATATACAAGCGTGCTTCCCACTAGTCTCCCCTGAAGAGGGCACTATGCCGGTTCATCTCCCCCTCGGATTCATGCCCGTGAACAGCAGTCGTCACCTCCGTCGTGATCTCCCACTGAATCTCTTTCACGATCCGCACGTTGCCGTTCTCGGCGAGTTCGATCTCGTCCTGCAACTGGGTGAGTCCTTCTTTCCGTCGTGCCCGCGTGCTTTCCCGGGTATAATTGTAGGTGTAGTTCTGCATGTAGCGACGCGCGAGACTGCTATGCTCGCCGATCAGGCGGGGCGCATAACGACGGAGGAGATGACGGATGAACGGTAAGCAGGGGCAGATGATGATGAAGTTGGCTTCGATATTACTACATATTGCCGGGAGGTTAGTGATGGGTCCGACTTGGTCAAGACACCGTGGGAGGGATTGAGCTTACATCCACAAGTCCGGCCAGCCGATGCTATAGGTCGGATCGCTAGAGTTTAGGAAAGGGATAAGGGTTATCAAACGAATGACCCCGGTCACCAAGGTTCTGCCAATTGGGTCAGTTTGTCGTCTCTCAAAACCTAGGAAATGGCATCAGAATGAAATGACTCACGCGCAACCAACCATGAACATGAAGAGCAACCCTATCTTCTGTATCGTTGGCATGTTCAAACCTATGACTGTAGGGACTGGAAATAGAATCAATGCAACGTCTGTGAGGATATTCAACACTGCGGTGGCGACGTAAAGTGCGTACTGGTCGATGCAGTAGCCCGTGAGGGCTGGACTCCATGCCTTCTGGATGGGGTGACAGCCGAAAATGAATGCGAAGATCAGGGCTACGCTGTAGCTGCTGACGATGAAAGCGAGAGTGGATAACGCCCATTGCTGATAGCGTTCTTGACATAGGATGCGGTAATAAAGAATGATCAGGCTTATCTTAGCGAGTGCAAGCGCTGGGACGTAGATGATGGCTGCTGTGAGGACGACCTGCGTGGTGGTATGAGATAGCTGTGGCGGTCCATATCGGGGTGAATAGTAACCTTGATGTATGATTCATATATTGCTGGGGAAAGATTCCAGACGTGAAGGCCCATGCCTCCGTGATGGTAGCCGTCTGTGGAAAGAGATTCTTGATTAGAGAGGGATGGACACTCGGTTGGGACGATGGTAGACGTACAAAGTGAGCATGCCTGAGTTCCTAAGGCGAACAGCTGTATTTGGTGCCAGATTAGCAGAAGGCATTGCTTTACATTATGATGCGCGTGCCTACCCAGGCCAGAATGATCGATCCTGTTTATAGTCAGTCTCCATGCAACTCACTCGGCTCACCACCAAGACATACCGTCGTCCCATCCGAACTTGTGCAGCAACTGTGCCTTGGTAAACACTCGCACAGCGAGACAGCTTGTACTCAGTGTCAGACCGACGGCGATAATCGCCACATTGGCCCTGTATAAGTGAGGATTGGAGTAGTCGAAGTCGTACGTCTGTCCTGGCGGAGGCTCAGCCGCTGTGACATTGGCCATACTGCGTATGTTGGACAGATCCCGGCTATCATTCACTACTCGGTGTCATGCTGTTCTCCGAATTGCTGACACTGTGGGACGATGGACATTGCCTCAAAACTGAGCACGCTTCCAGTCTGTCATGGTGGCACAGCCTGGATAAATGATACAAGTCTGGATGGAGACCCGGAAAAAAGAAACGCGGTGCTTCGAATCCTTGAGCCTGCGACTAGTCGCTCCTTTCATTGCGAATGCAGATCTAAGGATTTAGTTGGCCAGGGATATGATCGGGCTTGGAAGCAGGTCCGAAATCGAGTCGTCTCTTCCCTGTCTCTTTTCCGGGTATTTCTGAGCGACCGACTAATGACCGTAGCTCGTCTAGGGTAACAGACATAGGGGGAGCCTTAGATCGAGACAAGCTCCACCTTGGTGCTAGGATCATATGGCGCCAGAATAGATGGAGGTGGAGCGGATCTGGAGGCAGCACGAGCCGCCGTTGATGGACGATCCCGCTTAGCGGCCATAGTCTCTTTTAGTCCATGACACCAGACAGGGATCTCGACATTTAGGAGACTTAGGAGATGTCTCGCCTTTTTCTCTTACTTAATTGCTTCTACACATTCATCTGTGTCCTTTATTGTTGAGAGAAAGATCCCCGAGGCTAAATCCCTGTTTCTCTTTGGAGTATTATTCCCGATTCCGCACATTGTGAGAAGTAGAAGTCAAAGCTAATGTCATGTCTTTAACCAGATCACCTTGTCATCTAACAATGAGACAACCTTCAAGACACTGTTTTCGCATCATCGGGCTGGCATCATACTGAGCAGATTGATACCAATAACCGTGGCCGGGGCTGGGCGACACCTCCTTGTGCCTCCTCCCAGTTATGACCGGTCACATTAGCCCTTCGCTCTCCTGGCCTATTCCTTGTTGCTTTGCGTTGCCTCGGCCTTAGACTCCACATTCGAAACCAATTCACAAGCTTATTGCGGTACTCCGTACTCCTTCCGAGGAGCCAGTACCCACTAGAGCCACCCCGGGAGTCCCACTTGGGGGCTTACGGACAGGCGGCCCGCGGATTGTGAGACCACAAGCCAGCCAGCCATGCGAATTGCGAGATTAGACTTTCTGGCACAGTCTCCCATCAGGCCTGACAACCAGGCCGGGATGTTCGGTCTTTCAACTAAAGCTCTCACAAATTAATGATCTCTCGCTTGGGCAAGAAATCCCGCATTTCATCCAAGAGGCTCCACCGACTCTGCTGCTTGCTCAGTCTGTCGTGCACCATTCCTGCTCCATCCATCTACCCACTATTGGCGGCTTGCACCGATCGGCATGTTACTACAAGCACTGATCGGGAGTGCTCCTGGCCTACAGAGTACTTTACCTTCGTGCTCCGCACAATGAAATTGCAATCAAACCTTAGCGCATACCTCGTCGTGGCTAGTCCTAGCATCGTACCACTCGACCTCATACAGAATAGTTGCTTGCTCGGAGTAGCTCCTCAAATGGCCATGAAAGCCGATTGCTATCGCAGCCGAACAATAGCCGGCAGGCTTGTGTTCAACTATAAGAGGCAGTGAGCCGCTAAGAGGGCGAGAGCGAGAATCGTCAAGCGACTGTCAATCGAGATTCACAATGAAGGCCTCTACCGCATTAGCACCCCTTCTCGGCTTCTTACCCGAGGCCTCTGGGTCAAATACCACCGCCTGTGTAAGTTGTCTAGCAATTGGTGCATCAAAGCGCAAGCATAGCTAATGCTCAGGTTTCCCAGTGTTCCGCACTTCAAGCCACCTCCCTCCGGGACCATGTTACCTTCCCCAACAGTGTGGCATACAATGAGTCCGTGACATCTTATTTCGCTGTGAATGCTCAGCTACGCCCCTCGTGCATTGTCCAGCCACACACCGCAGATGATGTTTCGCTTGCCGTCTCGACTCTGGTGCAGGCAGGTGAGTCGCAATGCAAGTTTGCAGTGCGCAGTGGCGGCCACACTACGTGGGCCGGTGCAGCAGACATCGAGCAGGGTGTCACCATTGACCTCTCGATGATGAACAGCACGACATACCATGCAGACAAGGGCGTGGCATCCATCCTGCCCGGCTCACGGTGGCAGGCAGTATACAAGGCCCTTGATCCTTACGGAGTGACCGTGCCCGGTGGCCGTGGCGGACCCGTGGGCGTCGGTGGATTCCTGATCGGAGGTATGTACATGCAAGCTACCCACCCACACCCATCTAGCAAGCCACATCTAATTTCACATCCAAAGGTGGAAACACCTTCTACACGGCGCGCGTGGGCTTCGCATGCGACAACGTCGAGAATTTCGAAGTGGTCCTTGCGAACGGCTCGATCGTCGATGCCAACCGAACGAGCAACCCTGATCTGTACAAGGCCCTGAAGGGCGGGTCGATCAACTTCGGCATCGTCACCAAGTACGACCTCAAGACCCTTCCCCACGATGGACTGTGGGGCGGCTTAGTGGTGTATGACAACTCCACGACCGAGCAGCAGATCTCCGCCGCCGTGAACTTCGTGGACAACATCCACAACGATCCCTACGCGTCATGGATTGGCATGTGGGAGTACAGCTCGACAACGGGACAGAACATCATCGCCGATGCGCTGGAATACACGAAGCCCGTCGCGTATCCGGCTGCATTTGACGAGTTTGTTGCCATCAAGAACACGACCGACACGATGCGATTCGCCACCATCTACAACCTCACCCAAGAACTGGTCCAGGCGGAGGGATATCGGTAAGCTTTCCCCCCATTTCCCCAGTCAAAAAGAAAATGTGTCCCTGACAGAATCCAGCGACATCTTCACCACCGGCACCTACCGCAACGACGCCGAGGTCCTCCGCAAGGCTATCGCGCTGCACAACGAGAACATCGAGAAGGCCAAGGCCGAGGCCCAAAGCGAGTCCTGGTCTATGGACACCATCGTCCAGCCCTGGCCGAAGCTGTTCTGGGAGCACACCGCGGCCCAGGGTGGCAACGTACTTGGTCTGGAGCGGTTCGATGAGAACCTCGTCCGTAAGCAACCCCTCCCCTAATCCCCCCAAGTCCGAGCCCCCACCAAAAGACCCTCCACAACTAACGAAAAATCGAGCAGAGGTCCTCTACGACTACTCCTGGGACGACGCAAGAGACGACGCGCTCTTCACGCGCCTGGGCCGCACCGCGCTGACCGACCTCGACGCCTACGCCCAGTCGATCGGCGCGGCCAACGAGTACATCTACCTCAACTACGCGGACCAGTCCCAGAGCCCGCTGAGCGGGTACGGCGAGGAGAACGTCCAGTTCATCGCCCAGGTGGCCAAGAAGTATGACCCCCACGGCGTCTTCCAGACCCAGGTCCCCGGTG